CTGCCTGCGCTGCCTGCCCTGCTCCGCCCCCGACGTCTCCGTCTCCGCCTCCGCGAACTGCCCCTTCCCCACCTTCCTGCCTCGGCATCTGCCCTGTCCATGCCCACGTAGCTGCACCCGCTCCCTTCTCCCGCCCTGTCAGGGGCGAGTGGCAGCCCGGAGCTCCGGGGTGAGGCACCGCGACGGGCTCGGCGGAGGCGGTTTCCTCACCCTCTGCAGCGGCCGGGCGTGCTACACTGCGGGCAGGATGTAATCCTGCACCCGCTAGGCCCAAAGGCACCTCCCTGGCAGCATTCCCAGGGCTCTCCCCTCGCCAGCCGTGCTGTCCCGCTGGGGCTTGTCCCTCTGGTGATGAGTGTGCTCTGCTTTCCCTGAGCTCCGCAAATGCCTCCCGCTGAAGGGCAAACAGTGCAGCCTGCCCCACCTTCCTTCCTCAGCAACAGCCAGGCGATAGTACAACAGGGACGTTTTCTATCCTACATTTACAAAAATCGGGTGCTTCCTGGCAGGCACCCCGTGTGCAAGAGAGCCCCACAGCCAGAAAGGTCAGGTCAGATGACGGTGAGTCCCTGTACAAAGAAATCCTGCCCAGGACTAAAGGCCGTGTGATTACAGAATGGGTATGTTGTGTGTGACAGAAGTGTGGGCAATGAGCATGCAGGTTTAGACCCTGCTGATGACCCGAATGGGTGCTGATAGGAGGGCACACATCTGATTCCCCGCCCCCCCACCTTATTTACAAAAAAAACCAGAAAATGCACACCAAAAAAAGCCTGTGTTAAATGACTGTTGTTAAAGGTCTGAAGCAGTCAGAAGTTACAGAACACTGGAGTTCAAGTTGCTAGGCCATACCCCAGCTCAGTTGCCTGTTGCATGGGTTTTATGACGCAGTCTGTAATTACAGGATTTACATTTTCTTCCCTCAAGAGATTGTCTCTGTAAGTGCTTGAGATTGATGGATCTTGGAGGATGAGACTGATCTGGGTAAGGAGAGAGGCAGGTTAATTTGCTGCAGCGGTTGGAAAGCACTGAACGGCACAGGCAGTAGCAAGAAGAGGAAGGCTGGTCTCTTGGAGTGGCAATGGGTAATGGCGCTGCATTTGCCAGAGCTGACGTACATGCTGGGTAGGTCACTTAAGCTCAGGTTTTTGTAGGTGGTTGCTAGCTAATTCAGGGTGCCTGCCTCGAGCCACCAAAGTTCTGGCAGGAATATGTGCTACATGCTCCTAAACTGCAGCTGAAATAAGTGGGAGCTGTGCTTTGTGCTGCAGGTCAACACGTGCTTGTAAAAAAATCACCCTTGGGTATTTTTGAGTCAGACACCTAAACTTAATGGATGTTTTTGACCTTAATCTTGGGCTAACATCTCTCTTTAGAATCTCATAGAGAAACTGTGAAAATAACATTTGTTCATGTTCTATAGGGGTGTCAGGCATAAAACAGTCTGCAGGTAAATGAGTAATGCCACGGTTAGAGCAAGATCTGTATATCATGAAGTAACGCCTCGAGCAACAGGCTGGGCAAGGAATGTGAAACTAAACACTGAGTACCTGCTCAGGATCCGTGCTGAGCACTGAGCAAGGCAGCGGTCCCCTGGTAGGTAGAGGCCGCATTGTAACTCACGTGCAAAACACGGGTGGGTTAAGGGCACAACTGCAAGTTCACAGTGTGCGTTCTACCAGTGCACGAAATAGGTCTCTAGTGAAAGGTGTGGTGGGCCAGCAATGGGTTGGTACACTTAATGCCCTCTGGTTGCTTCGTGTATTTCTAATGATACCAGGAAGAAAACGGGGACTTGCTGCCCTTTTTCTGTTCCTGTTGCTCTATGCTGTAGCTGTTGCTTGGTTTGCCAAAATAACATTAAATGGCTTTGGTTGTTACACCCAAGGTCGCTGCTGCAAGCCTCTGCCTGGGGAGATCCTCCATTTCCCAGATGAGACAATGGTGGGCAGCTTTCTCCCCATGGATCTGTTTTAACTTATTTTTCCACAGCTGGAAGCAACCACTGCTGATATTGGAGTCACTGCTGTCAGGCTGCCGGCAGATAGGCAGTTTTGCTGAGTGTCCTAGAGATGGAGGGGTCAAAGGATCCAGTTGGTCAGGGGCAAAACCTTTTGGGGGAGGGATCTAGTGTCTCTTCTTTGCTATCCTTCCTAACCCCCAGGCATGGGCACAGGCTGTGAACTCTGTGTAGGGATCTCATGACTTCAGAGGTGCCTGACCTGTACATATGGGGATGGGTTCGCAATCCAGTCCTCTAGAATTAGAAGTGATCTCCCAAAAGTTGAATTTGATGCTAATCTGTGTATGTTGCAGGGATGTTAGCATTCCTCAAGATGCTGCTGCTGCGGAAGTGAAGCCAAAAATGCTCAATTCTTTTTTCCCAGCAATCAGTTTAACTTGATTTTAAATTTTAAATCACTATTCAGAAGTGCTAAGGCTCAAAGCTTGTCTTTTATAAATGAAATCTGGTATTTTCTCTGTATAATTCTTCATGTTCAAGTCAGGGTAATGGCTTCAGGTTTAAGGCACCCAGTTATTTAGATAATGTAATGGAAATAAGTAATGTGGATATTCTGCAGTCCCAGTGTAGGGATTATTTCAGTTTTATTTTTATGCATATTTATAAACTTTTTACTTTTATAAATTGATATGCCAGGCACAAAGTGATTCGAGCCTGGCCACATTTGTCTAAACTGATGCAGAAGATAAGCAGGCCTAACTTCTGAGAATAGAGGAAGATGAGAAGATTAACCTTTTCATAGTTCTTTATCACTCATGATACTCAAATTATAAAGGTGTCTTTTGCAAACTGCACATTTTCAAAGTAAATTCATTCACCATCTGAAAGATTGCAGAATAGCTGTGTTTCATGAAGGAAAAAGAATTACATTCTTCATGTAATTGTTCAATTACCTTGTATCTCCTCACGTATTTTCTTTATTTTTATTAACTAACCGTAATGAAGTAATAAGTTTGTGAGCTTTGTCTTTAGCGATTACTAATTTGTAACCTGGGTTCAGTTGATGGAAGCTGATGGGAAGGAACTGGTTTGATTAGGTTAATTTCCAGAGAGAGTTTTGATTATTGGCTGACGTGTCTGTGCTTTTTCTTAACAAAATAAAATATTTCTTAAACAAAACCTTTCTATTTTAATCTTGACAGGAGAAATAATTGCCTTTGAAATGTGCAGTTACTGGCATTCTAGATGAGGAATAAAACCCTGTGAGAACTTGTCAAATAATAATCACAAACATCTAAAATGACTTCAAGGTCAGCTTTCAAAGAAATTATTTGCAGGTGCATTTTGGCATCATTCACATAGGTCAAATAAATTATTCATGGGGTTTTTTTGCCATTAGGTTAAATAATTTATTTGTGTCTCCAGTATCCAGTGGCTAACTTGGTGAAACTCTCTCATTCCTGAGTCCAAGCCGAGCACAAGTTAGTAAAGTAGGCAGGTGGATAATGCTTTTAACTGAACTTTACTTCAGTAAAGAGTCTCATTGTTAGTTGGGCTAAAACATGACTCGATCACACAGCTTGATTTAGATGTGAGGCCAGGGTTGGCTCTCCACAATAATTTTGTGAGTTTATTCATTTATAATATTTCTGTCCTCATGTATTGTATTTTCTGATAAGCTTATGACTATTGCTTTTAAATGTAGTGAGTGTCTGAATATCTAAAATCGTATTGCCTGCCCAAGGAGTTCAAGCCAAACCACCAAAGTGGATGGGGCATCCCATGTTCTCCTTTGTACTGGCACTTGTCTTTGGTTAGCCAGCTCAGGGAGTTAAATCAGTAGAGTATGACTTGCTTTGCAAAGAAAAAAAAAAAAAAAAAAAAAAGAAAGAGAATTGTTTTCTGCTAGCTGTCTGACCCTGGGATGGGATGAGCAGTGCCGGGAGCGTGGGGCTGAAAGAACGGCAGCAGCACCAGCTTTGTTCCGTTGAGGTTGCTGGGGAACGAGATCTCAGCTGTATGTCATGTGCACAACCAAATAAATGCCTCACACGGTTCCCGTTTCCTTCCAGAGTTAGCGTCAGCCTTGCCATCTCCTCCATCCCGTGTCTGATCTCGTCACCGCTCTGCTGCCTCACTTGTCCCCAGAGGTGCACATCTGGAGTAGAGCAGCTGCTTCCCAGCTAGTCCCTCCCCTCCTTTTCCCCACCCCAATCCACATCACCAGTTTTGGTTTCACTTATTTTGTATTCCCCTGGTGAGAGGCAAAGGTTAAGTGTTTCACCTAATTATCAGTGTGAAAATAAAAGCTTTCAGGTAGCAGAGACAGAGAGAAAAGCACATGGAAGAAACAAAAAGCAGCTGGGATTTTCTTAGGGCTTTTTACACCTCTTGGGGGGCTTACTCATCACCTTGAAAACTGCTAGTCTGTGTTGCACGTGTTATTTATAATGATCATTTTAAGTAAAAGGAATTTTTTTTTAATGAAGTGCCTTGTTTTTTCAAGAGCTTGGCATAAACAGGGTGTGGGACTTTTATCAGCCTTGCAGCAAGAGTTCACAAGGTATTTTTTTAAGAGTAAGACATGAGTAGAAAAAGCAGATGAAGACATGTGGCAGTTTTCCTTAAAATAATTTCTATTTTGCCACCAAATTCTTTCCAAGCAGAGGAGAAGTTTAGTGGAGATTAGTTCAGTTTGGTAAAGATTTAGGGCAGAGGTAGCAGGATTTTATAGATCATGTCCATCCTGCATGGCATGGGAATTATGAGTGCATAGCATTTATTTTCTGCCACTTTGTAAACCTACCCATCTGAAGTGAGTACAAGTAAAGCACTTCTTGGTGCAGTACCATTAGTGTATTGATGTCAGGTATCAGCTCCTCTAGTTTTAGATTCAAACCACGGTTAAGTGGCTGTGGCTACAGGCAGTGGCAGAGGACTTGCAAAGGCAGCGTGGTGAACAGCCCTGCAGCAGGGGTTAGAGCCTGGGTGGGGGTTAATCGCGTTCAGCGTCCATCAGGCTGTGATAAACCCTGTCTCTTGTGTTTTCAGCGGCTGCACAGTGGAGTTCTCAGGGATCTCGAGCGTCAAAGTCAGAAAAAGGAGAATATTCGCCTGCTAGAAGAGCAGATTGCTTTGACAAAGCAGCTTATGGAAGAAAGAGACAAGGCGCTAATGGAAAAAGGGTCCCAGCAGTCCTAGGCACAGTTCTGAGTCGTTAGAGGTTTGATTAAAGTCGTTTGGAGATCGTTGGTACCTAACTACTTGCAAGTGTTTCAGCAGACAGGGGTAATCTGTGAAAGACTTTTTTTCTTCCTATACCTTGTAATCCAGTCCCAAAAGCTATAGGGCAGACACAAAACATTTGCTCTGTCACCGGTGCTTTGTGGGGACTTGGCTGGCACATCCAGTGTGGATGGACTTGTCAATGTGGGGAGGAGTAGCTCCTTGTTATGCAAACACCATCTAGGATGGCTAATAACGTTCACATGAGTGGGCTGCTGAGCCGCCACGATGACGAAGCCACCAGGACCTCCACCTCAGAGGGCCTGGAGGAGGGTGAGGTGGAAGGAGAGACCCTCCTGATAGTCGAGTCTGAGGACCAGGCTTCGGTGGATTTATCGCACGACCAGAGCGGGGACTCTCTGAACAGCGACGAGGGTGACGCGTCCTGGATGGAGGAGATGTCCTACTACTGCGAGAAGTGCCAGAAATGGATTCCAGCAAGTAAGTCTGCCGGCTGTGTTGTCTCGCTTGCATTGCTGTGGTGGTTGTTTGCAAGGCGGTTACGCTGTCCTGCATACCTGTTTTACCGGGCAGCCCTTGTTTCGCTGTATCCTATCCGATGTCAGAGGAGAAAGGCTGTCTTGGCATTGCGTGGAGCTCCGCAGCCTGATGCCAGTGGTGTGCGTTAGGCACTTCGATCCATGAAATGTAGGGGTGTCCAAAGCTGGCATTCCCTGTAAAGAAATGGGACTGTCTTCTTGAATTAGTAGAGAACAAGCGTATGCCTTCAAATCAAGCACATCCTCTTGAGTCTTCCTGCTGGTGTGTTTAGGGGACTTTGGCCAAGCAACTTGGCCTCTCTGCTCACTCAGATGAAGATAATGATTCTTGCTGTAAAGTTTTCTGGAGGAAAAGGGCTTTGTGATGGTGTTAGACTTGATTTTTTTTTTTTTTTTCTGGTCAGTTTGTCGCACATTTGGAGCATATGGCTAAGCCTCAACCTTAATGGTTTCCCAGTAATGTGAATTTAAGTTAGCTTTCACAGAAGCACGTCCAGCCTGTAGCGCTAGCTTTGGGAGGCGTTTGGAGCAAACTGCAGAACTTGATCCCTCTGCTACTGCTGCCTGACATAAAATATATGCTGTTAGCCATGTAACAGATTAGACTTTACTTCCTAAATTCTGGATTATCAGAACTTATTAGATCCAAAGGCTAGATATTGCTAAGCACTGGTTGGTTTTTGTTTTGTTTTGTTTTAAACTCTTTTAAAAATTATTTGGTTGTGGGTTGGGTTTTTTTTTTTTTTTTTTTTTCAGCTAGAAATAGGGAACTCTTCAGGTGGTACCTGCCTTGCAGATATGTCAGAGCTGCCCTTTTTGCCGTCTTAGAACTTGCCAAAAGTTACAATGTAGAAATCTCTCAAGATGTGTTAATGAGTGTTTTGATGTTAATGTAATGGAACCAGCATTGTCCTATTAAGGTAGTATGCAGTTAAAGGGACACACTAACTTGAAATGTTCTAATGAAAAAAAAAAAGGGAGCAGAGTTAAAGATGGCATGAGATATCTTAAAGCACTTGATTTAATACCCATTTTATTTTACAAAGATGTTCCTCTCTCTCGTTGCTGCGGGAGAAATCCAAAGAGCAGAAAAAGCCAATCACAGAGCAACAGTAACTAGATACAAAAGTGCAAAGTAAACGAGCTGGAAAAGGGAAATACTGTTCTCTTTGCTAATTGTTCAGTAAGAGGGATGTAGCAGCTGTCACTTGTGAAAGCCACCAACATGCTTAGACAAATTATCACTTTTTACATTGAATTGCCATGTAGAAACTGTTCATCTACTAAGTGAGGGTTTTTTTCCCCCCATCAGACATAGGTGCAACTTTAATAGATTCTCCAATTCATTATGTAAGCAGAGCATCCACATATTACAAATGCTTGATCTGGTGCTGTTACACAGTAAAAGAGATGTCATACTTTTAGAGGAAGACCGTTTGTGTGTGAATTTTCAGAAATGTTGTAATCTTAACTGTTTCCCTGTGCTGTGATTTTGGTTTTTAATTTTTCGTATTTGTGTAAATTAATCCCTGGTGAGTTTAGAACTCGGCTGAGATTCATATGATGTTTTTTTTTCTCTCTGCTGCAGAAACCTAGAATTAGAGCGTATAACTTCGGATGTGTGGGGTTTTACATGTGGCTCTATCCCAGCAGATCGCTTTTGTTCATATGAACTTCTATGCAGGTTTAGCTTTACACAGCTAGGTATATGCTGAAGTGCTTTGCTGATTTGGGATCCAATGCATCAACTGCAGTAAAGAAAAAGTGTTTCCTGATTAATGCCAGGCCGTTCTTTTGGCTCTGAGTCTCAAGGAAAGAAGATCTTCCCCTGACAGGAGAAATAAATACCTTAAAGCTTCACGCCATGTCTGCTGCAGTGCATCCTGGAGGCTGCTGTCAACAGGGACCGGCAACGTTACTTTAGTAACAATTTGTGG